TCTACACGATGCGATTGGCTTAAAAGATTTGCGCCACCTTTTCATCCAATCAGAAGTAAAACCAAAGCCAATTGTGACGCGCTCGCATGCATTTTCCCGCGCTTTGCGTCAGCCACATGTAATTACTTCGAGTTTTGATTGGTTCAATGTATTGTCTGTGTCCTATGTGATTGGCCAGAGTAATTACTTTGGTTTTGGTTTTACGACACTCAAACGAAAACCACTCTAGAACCAAAAGAATTGCCTAGCTGTTCTTGTGAATTCTCTGCCCACTAATAATTTGCATCTAACAGGCAACTTGAGATCTTGGTGGGAGCACTGCATGTACCAAACAATATGAATCAGAAGCAAATCCAAAAGCAGATGGCAAAATTTTAAGGCAATTATTTTTACTTGGATTGTAGAGACAAGTGTTTCTGTATGCATCAGATGTATTATTCTGAAGAAATCAAACCCTGAATTGGACAGAGAAACTGCATACTTCTGGGAATGTTAAGTTTACCTTCCATGTTGGACATTTTCATGGATCCAAACTGATTTGTGAGTTTAGTTGTCTTTTCCATTTCTTGAGCCAAAAGTTCTGGTAGAACTTTTACTTTCTTCTTCAGGTCATGCAACTCTAGCTTCAGTTCCTGTTGGAGTACAGATAGAGCAACTATGTCAAATATATGCAGAGAAAGCAATCATCAAAAACATTACAAGAAAGGTTTGTTGCAAGAGCAAGTTGAGCAAAGACCAAAAAAGTTGTACTTCTAAAACAGCTCATTGCAGGGGTAAAGAAATGAGCGCAATGAACCATGCATAGACCAGGGGATGGAATCCCATAATGAAAGTGTATGATCTGAGGACTGGGGACTTTTGTTGCCCTGCCTAGGGTTTAAATTGCACATTTTGTTACAGTATTATTAAAGTGCTTCCTACATTATTCGTCCTTGAAGAACCAGGGGCAGTTAGTTGGGCTGGGAGAGAAGGGAAACTTTTATCGCACCTTTTCTTCCGGCCCAACTGACTGCCCCTGGGTCTCCGAGGATGATTATTATTCATGACCCATACAGGTATCAATTACATTGCAGGGCTGTGCATGAAGAAACAAAGCACAAAAGGAGAGAGAAAAATGGCTAAGCAGGAGCTAGTTAAGTCATAAAAGCACTTTTCTGCAGAGTGGGGAAGTTGCCAGTTTGATCCCAAGGATGGGATTAATACTCAGGGTCTTGAGATACCTGAGAAATGAAGAAACTATCTTTGCTCTCCAAACAGCTTGGCCCTCAGGTGGCTAACCACTTAAACTGGTGGTCTTATCTCCAGTTGAAGACATAAAAGTATTGTCTTTATACCAATACTTTTTTGCTAATAATATTGACAATCAAGTAAAGTGCTTTTCTCTTTTAAGGGGTCAACTGGAGCTTGAGTTACAGTGTCTCCTTTAGGGGTTTAATTCTAATTTCATTTTCAATGAAAATTCCCTGCATGCTTCTTGCACATGTAGTTCACCTAGCTGGGTGCACAAGAACAGTCATATTTGCAAATCAATGCTTAATGAATGCGTTAATTGGTATTTATTATTCATTCAAAATATTTCCCCAATTCTGATTGGCTAAAAGCACACGCATAATTCACCATAACCAGTTACTGATGACCAAATTTGGAAGAATTTTGTGTTTAAATAGGAAATGACGTCAAAAATGCAGCCCTCTACAGGTTTATAAGGCACCGTTAACAGAGAAGACCTGGAGACGAGGTTGAGTTGTTTTGGTTGTGAACTTGAAAAATGGTGGACATTTCACTTGTTTCAAGAGTAAGAACTATCCGAAAAAAATAGCTAAAACATGGCAAGAACAGCAAGAAGACAACTCAAAGGGCGACATCTGCTATTTGGAGAATATTTGCGGTGCTGGACAAACCTAAATTTTCACTATCGAAGATGAACTTAACATCGATGGATCGGTGGAGGTAAGCATGTTTTAGCCATGTTTTTAAACTAGGAATTATTTTGAATGAACAATAAAACAATTATTGAATTTGGCTTTCGTATCATATGAATAATTATGGAGATCTCAGAGGGTGTTATCAGCCGAGACGGATAACACCCTCTCCTCGATCTCCATAATTCTTCATAAGATACTCAGCCTCATTCATTAATTGTTAATTATTCTTGAAATAGAAATATTAAACAGATTTCCTTAAAGATGTTCTTGATGTTTTTGCTTTGCCGATTTACAATTTAAAATTTGTGATTTTTTTTTTCTACTGTGGTGAGTTTTAGCCATTTTTGCCTTCTTTTAATGAAAAATTAAAAATGAATAATTATGCTGACTGTGGTATGGCTTCAACTGTGAGAATGACATCTGATGACTTATTTAATTTAATTTACTTTGTTGCCAGTCTGGTTACATTTCCTCAATGCTCCTTAACATATATAGTACAAACCTGAACTTTGTCACTGGAGTTCCTTAGTGTCTGTAATGATGTTTTTCTAAAACCCTGTTCCTCATCAAACAAACGTCTGAAGTGCGTGGCTTCATGGCGGCAGGACCTGACAGAGCCTTGGCACTGAAAGGAAATTCTGAATTATATTTCACGTTTCTTGGTTATTTGCAGCATAGCCTTCTATTAAACTGACTACAAGTAGCACAGGCTGCTCAAATGGAATTACTCCAGGGATTATTCAAACGAGATCATTACTGTTGGTAATTGAAGGAAGCCATTTCACTTAGAACAATAGTCAACCATTTGAAGTCAAATTAAATTACGCACAATGTAATGCTTACGTGCTGGTAAACCAATATCAGCTGATAAGCATTAAGGGTACAAGTATTGGTGAAATATCAATTGATATCATTTACCTGAGCTAGTTTAAGATACAACATAGCATTTTCTGTTTCAAGAGCAACGATCCTTTCCTCTCTAGCCTGAAAACAACATCAATGGCATGAACAATTTCCCAGACGATGTTCAACCCTCAAAAGAATAAAGCGTTTAGAAACAAATCGAGCGTAAAATTGATCTTACCCTCAACAGATTTTCCAGTTTCTGAACACGGTCCTTCAGTTGTTGATCGCTTAACTCAGGCATTTTTCTACGACCACGGGAGAAACTTTGGTAAGGGCTATAGTTATAGTTATATCCTTGCTAATTGATAAAATCAAAAGCACATTTTCCCGGCCTGTAATGTAATGTTAACCGCGTCAACTTCTCTTTGACAACCAGAAAATGCGTCTCTTTCTTGTTTACCTTATACTGCGCCCGCCGTAAATTCGAGCAGCTGTTGTTCATTTTATGCTCATCTAAACATGGTCATAACGGTCAAATATGGGTATCGAATGGCCCCAGGTCCTCTCTCTGGTCCAGTTGTCTTTTGGTGCTTTTTTTCAAAACAAAGAATAATGTTTCGTTGTGGTCGAGGAAGGTGTTTTGCAAACAACTATAAAGATTTCTCTGGAACGTTGGGAAATGTCGAGTATCTCAAAAATCTCATTCCAAATGTTTTGCAGTTAATTGAAAAACAAAGCCCTCCTGAACGTTCGAGTTGTGACGGAGGTCTGTATGTCGGTGGTGCTGGTATTGGGTACGCTTTTTATGCTGTAGCTGAGAGCTCTGCACAGTTTCCAGTGGCAAATACACGGGAGGATTGTCTCAGAAAGGCCCTCGAGTACATGAAGGTACGATTGATTAAGACATCATTTCCACACAAACGCATAAAACCAAACAAAAACGCTAGCATAAGATAAATTTTGTGATCATAGAAAGATGTGAAAGTTTTTTTTTTTTTAATATCCAGCCCCCAGCCCCATACCATGAATAAAATTTTCAAAAGGGTGGGGGAGAGGGGTGTTAGGGGGCTAGTCAACTCACCTTATCCTTTGGAAGGGGGTTGGTGGCAATGTAGACAGAGGTGGTCCAAGAGTCCAAGCTATTTGGGAGCCGTCAACATAAGTATGACTTTGTGTAACAGAGTATTTTTAAAAGTTTGTTAGGGAAAAACTTTTTCATATAAAAATTAATTGTACCATTTCTTCTTCTGTAACTGTGGAAATTCATTCAAACTTATTTGCTTTGGCAGTGGTGTGTAAACTTGATCTGATAACCAGTTACTCTTTCTCTTTTTGGCTTGCCCCTCTCTATATATTTTCCTGAAAATCTTTTGTATGAAATAAAGAAATATTGAAAATTTTAACCTTAAAAACAGCCAAAGGGTCTAGGATTTTGTCCAACTTTAAACGATTATTTTTTAAAACAAATTGGAAGGAGACCAAGCTCATGCATTATCCACTCACTCGCTAGGACAATTATTGGATGAGGTTGAACAAAATACCATGATTTGTCAGTGGCGAGCAGATCAATTATTATTATTACCTCAGCCTTTGGCTTTGGCAAATACCATAAAATTCCGAAAATAAGCCCCTCCATGCATAAGCCCCTCCAAATATAAGCCCTCCAAACCAGTAATCCAAAAGACCCTCCATGAATCACCCCTTCAAATATAAGCCCCCCAGGGGCTTGTACTTGGAAAATTACCCTCAAATACAAAGTAATACAAAGCAAAAACAGTAAATTTAATTCCAACTATAAGGCTAGCCCAGAATTTTACGGTAATTTATTGATCTACGAGACACTGACAAATCACAATATTTTGCGATAACTGAGTTCAATAATTGTTCTATCATTCAATCACCAAGTTTGTTTTTTAATAAATATCTTCAGGAAGCAAAGCAATCTGCCATTTTTCACACAAGAGCAACCAGAAGAAGGAGAAAAGTGTGGTTTTGTTTACACATGAGCAGAATATTATTAATTGCAGCCAAGCACAGTTAGATGACATATTGCACATGAGCAGACCATAATTTGTAGGCAGTTATTTGCAGGTCTCATAGTTGGCTTTCGGCCTACGAAAAGTGAAGAACAATTTGCATACAATGATGATGTTGAATAGCTGTCCGATGGCGAACCAATCAGATTGCTTTAAAGACCAAGATCACTGAGTGTGTATATTAATTTTCAAGGCTGTGCTCTAAGGAAAATTGAGGGGTACTCTGAACCTGTAATCTAGGGTGCCCAGCATATGATTTGTATGAAAAATCTGAGATTTTCTAGTCACCCAGGAGCAAAAGTTGGGCACCAGGGGCCACCAGGCCCTTCTAGAGCACAGCCCTGATTTTGATTTAATACTAATTTTATTGGAATCAACAATTTCATATTTTGTAGGTAAGCCTTCAAGACGTATCCAAAATTAGTCCTCAAGAAGATGGGATTGGGGCATCTTTCCTTCTGGGACACGCAGGGCTGTATGCTGTGTCAGCACTTGTCTTTAATGCCTTAGGTTTGTGTGTGTTTTGTTGTTGTTGTTCTTTCGGAGAGTGAACCATCCAGAGGGTATAGTGATTGAAGTATAAACAGACCTTTTCTTCAAAAGTTGTGATTGTGAAATTTGTTATCATTATCATTATCATTACTACTACTACTGGAATTGAGAAGGTGGCATGAAATTAATTTTAACGTTTTTTTTTTTAAATAACTTATAGACCACCAACAAGAGGCAGACTATTGCATTCAGAAATTTTTAGAGATGGGCAACATCTGCCGTCCTATAAACTTCTTCCCGCCTGGTTCTGACGAACTGTTTGTTGGAAGAGCTGGCTACTTGTGTGGCTCTTGGGATGATGCCTTCATCTTTGTTCAGAGATTCAGAATCAATCTCCATATCCAAATCATGACTCCCAAGCATGGTGTGCGTTTTGCCTGATCCTGTTTGTCCATACGCCATGATGCACACGTTATACCTGTTCAGCGAACACACAATCAGTTCAATTAAGTGTTGGAAGATTCACACGGCATCAAGCGCTTGTCTCAATGACAACAAACACTGTTGACTTCATATTGAAGTTAAACAAAAATATATGGTTTTAATTTTGGCAATTCACCATGCACAAGAACAATATATTTTGGCTTTGCGCGCTACTGATGAAGTAGTAGCTGCTCTTTATTGAATTACTGAAAGACAGGAGAAAGCAAGGCCGTCCCCTGAGAGTAGGCTCGATAACCAGCCGTTATTCGAGAAATGACCCCACGCTTCTCTCCCGAAGGGGAGGAACTAGACACAGTGGCGGATCTAGGGGAGGGGCCCGGGGGCGGTCCTTATTTTTAGACCAAAGAGAGGTGAAGACCCCCCCCCCCTTTTTTTTATCTAAGTGTCTAGATGACCGGGGCCCCCACTAACTTATCTCAAGGTCTGGATCCGGCACTGTAGACAGACCCAAGTGAACGGAGGAAATCGAACCCATCGAAAGCGTTCAGAACATAGCATAGGACCGATCTTGTTGACGTGTTATCAATTGCAAAGCACGAGCAGCTGAGCTGGAGAAAGAGCAACATCGACAGCAAGAAATCAACCACAAAAGCTAGCAAAGAGTTCCACTGTCACATATACCGGCCTACAATCTTCCAGACTGCATGTACGTCTACAGAGCCATTCCAAAGTCCACGATGAAATGCGCAGGTGTTGTCTTTCTTCGGAGTACTCCAAGAGACAACCACCCCGCATTGTCAATTATTAGGGAACTTAATCAACGACGACGGAGACGGCAACGAGAATGTACTTTTCTGTACATTTCTTTGCCGTCACCCCGCGACAACTCGACGCGAGATGGCCTAATTTCACGTTTTGTTGGGGACGCGAACACAAGACAACGACTTTCTTTTTCGTTTCCTGAACTTCGATACCGTCTTTTAGAATTTAGCTATAAGGAAAAAAAGTGCCAACATTTGACGAGTTGACCGAGATGGACTAAGCACGATTGACTTTGAAGCAGCGCGAATTAACTTTTTAAGAGTAGTTTTCGTAGCCATCTCCGTCACCGTCTTCGTTGCTTAAGCTCCCCAATATTTTTTTGTGTACAGTCTGGCATCAGGTCGTTTCGCCCTAAGATCGTTTCGATTCGCCAGACCACATTTCCCCGACATTTCGTCTATTCCGGCGCTCGATGTATAAGCCAAGAGAAGAAAAGGAATATGCGTGAAAAGGCTATAACTGCTCTTGTGGGTCAATGGCTTTTTCCACGGAAAACTTGACACAAAATATCTCAAAGTCAGGGCCGGGCTAAGATCTTTTCAGATCGTCGCACAATTTTCAGCAATCTTAGCAACAGAATCCAAGTTTAACTATAAAAACATCTCTGATAAGTATGTTCACCGGAATATAGAGTGCTGTGAGTCAACGAGTAAATCGATTTAAGTCCGGGCGAAAGTGAGGCCGTCGTTCATTACTCACCCATCCAAAAGAGACGTCAGTAGAGGGGCCACATCGTCGAAAAGTGACTCTTGATCTGTCTCAGGGCCATAAACTCTCTCGAATTCAAACTCCTTCTTCTGTAACTGACCTCCAATCGGCTTGGAAGGTTTGACTAATATCTTCTCCTCGTCCAGTAATTCCACAACTTTTTCTGAAGGTGTTCCCGTCATACCAAGCGACTCCTCATCCCCAGGTGAGTCCAGTCGGCCAATACAAGGCCGCAGTCTGCAATGAACACGGATGTTTCCACGGATTTCCTGTTAAGGAGCAGGACCACCATCAATAAATCTTTGAAACCGTTCCAGTTACATGTAATACATGCAGATTAACCAGCTTCCTTGATGGGCTTGTTTACTATACAGTGGAACTCGATAAAACGAAAGGCCAAGGAACTGGCAAAATTTGTTCGCTATGAGGTAACCGGTGAAGTAGCCCGAAAGTTAAATCGCCCGAAATGCGGAGTCATGTCGGCTGAATTTTATCAGGTGAAGTGCACAGGAAACAAAGTTTTTTTTTCTTAATTAAAGAGTGTATGTTAATATATCTTGTTCTTTTAAACCATCATGAGACGAAACAAGTGCAGAGTGAAAATGTAATATGTCTCGCTCTTTAACAACGAAACAAGCGCGATAAATGAGTAATAAATCTTGTCCTATGATCTTCGATCAGAAAAAACAAGCGCCGCAATAGGGATGCTAGGATATTGTTGAGCATGATAAAATTTCGAGCCACATAACTCTAATTTCGAGCGACATAACTTCGGGTGAGATGACTTTCAGGCGACTTGACCGTAAACCCGTTATAACGAGGTTACGTTATATAGACGTTATTTTTCATACACTTTACTATTACTGGGGTAAAGTGTGAGCAGAGATTTTCCATGAATTCTTTATTTGCCTCGAATTTCATATATAGCTTTCAAATATTCGCTTTGACTTTGTTTGTAGTAATTCATACTGAATTCGCATAAAGAGGTTTTAGCTCCGCGAAAACGCTCGTGCCATTTTTGTTTGATTACTTAGTGTTCGTTAACGCAATAATTCTAGAAAAAGCCAACAGTGTTTACAGCTGTCAAAACTATTTGCCACTGACTCTTTTCAACTGGTCACGTTTTACTCCAATTATTGACTTTTAGAAAAAAATCATTAGTTTTCAGAATAATGGCTATTAACTTTAGTGTATCTTTTAATTTGAGCGTTCTTTTTTTTCTGCTCGACATCCGTTCACATTAGCACCTTTTTAGAGATGTACCTCTTTTAATTGCACTTTACCTATATGTATTTGCGAATATAACGTTCATTAGTCTGTTGGTTAAGGTGGCTGAACACAGTTTTGGCAGTTTGTGATTATGTGTCATTTGCCAAATCATGGCAAGAGACAGGTTGCTGCTCACAAGCTGAAACTTGGCAAGTGAAAAATGTACTGATGAAAGATTTTGATTAACAGGTAAAAATTGACGTTTTCGTAGTTTCCATGGCAACAGAACGATTGAATACAACCTTAAAATTTCACTTTTTCTCAGTTTACATAAAATTCGCTCATTATATTTTCCTATAAACTTGCACACAGCTTACTATAATTAATCATTCCCATTTGAAGTTGTTTGACCAAATTTTAACGGACGGGTTTTTAGATAATCAATAATTTAATTGTACTGTAATTATCAAATGTGTCACAAAATTCGTTTGTTCACCTTCCATTTTAAAGTCCTCATTACTTAAAATACGATGAAAGGAAAAATTCTGCCAAATATCACAAAATTCTAATGTGGAATCGTCTTCTGTGTT